TTACCATCTGCAGACCTCATTCATACTGAAAAATGACACTCGGGGAGCTGTCAAGAGACAGTTCAGTATTCCTCAGCAACAGCGGGTCAGAGTCTGTCTGCAGTAAATCTGTGCTTTGGAGTGTCTTTTCTTTGAAGATAACAAACTGGTATTTTTGAAGGGTTTGATTTGTACAGAGTATGGCTGAATTTATCATTTGTTTCTTACTTTTTTTGGGAAAATACATCCAACCACCAAGGGCAGAGAAAAAACATTTGTGGCATGGACAAATATGTTTTTCTGGTGTAGTTCAGCTTTTTAATTAAAGAATGCTGGAAAGTTATAGAAGATAAATTTACCAGTTCAGAATCGATGAGTTTAAACAAACATTTTCTTGCTGAAAAAAGACTTCTAACAGTGTTTTACAACTGCTTCACTACTATCTAAATTAATTAGTCTGTGCAAAACCAAAGAACAATTCATCTGAGACATTAAAGCTCACTTTCTTTGATGGCTGGAGATAACAATCAGCTTCAATAACATTAATTCCCAGTTTTTTTACTTCTGCCGAAAGAACACATATGAGAGAATCCACCCATTAATCTATCGACCAAGATAAGTAAAAGCATCTAACCCAGATATGTTGGGCTGAGAAGAGCAGTTAAGTCATGGAAAAACAGTTAAGACGTTTCGACTTATCATAATGGCCCTGTTGTCGCTAATTACATTAATAATGACTCCATTGTAATCACGTGTTGCAGTAAGACAGGAGACCATAACATTGAGTTGGCATGTACCAACCATAAACAGTATCAGGTCCCTGAAGCTAGAGCACCAAACTGGAATTCAGCCATTTTATTCATTTAGGTTTTATACACTGTACATATTTCTTTACATGAAAAAGCCCATTATATGCACAAATTTACAAACCTGGAGATTATCATCTGAAATGCAGATATATCATGATGTGGTACCATTATTACAGCATGTTCATTTTAGCTGCTTCTAGAAAATCTTAACAGATTTAAGATGAGTGAGCAGTCAATCGTCGTCTGCTATTTTTGTTTGATTGTATCGTCGTCCTCTTGTATTTAAGAGCTACAATAAATAAGGGCTGTTAAACTGATAAATGGATTGATTGTATTTATGTCAGAAGCAGAGCCAACCCAAGGCAAGTGCGAAATGAGTGGCTGGGTATGGCCTCCAAGCCAGCAGGTGGCTCCCAACAGTACTTGACACCTTAAACAGACAGGGTTCCCATCATGACTTGAAAGTGTTAGATTTGGATTTGTAGTTCCTGTTCCTGTATTTTTTTATAATCTGGGTTGCTGTTGTTCACTGTGTTTCTTTTATCTTTTTTTTTTCTTGTAACGCATGTTCCTGGGTTTGTCTCTATTCAACCCTGTTTTCATGTTAATTTGGTTTTTAGTCATGTCCAGTTTAGTTATTTATCTGATCCTCTCGTTCTTGTCTGTTTGCCAGTTCTTGATTTAGCTCCCCCAGTTTATGCTCCCTCACATCTTTTCTACGTTCAGTTAATTCAATTCAATTCAATTCAATTCAATTCAGTTCAATTCAATTCAATTCAGTTCAATTCAATTCAATTCAAATTCAATTCAATTTCATATTCAATTCAAATTCACAAAATCTATGATCTCTATCTTCCCATGTAACATATTTCAAGTGGAAATGACGACCGGTTCTTGCAGCCGCAATTTATTAAACAGGTTTCTTTAAAGCGGCCACGTTCGTTTCATGCTAGATGGTAATGCTTGCTTGGGCAGGAAAGGAATCTCCTGTAGCGGTCTGTCTTAACCAGCAGATCTGAAGAAGCCTCTGACCTGAAGACACCTCTGTTGTTAGTACAATTAGTCTCATGAAAAGGATTGCTCAGGGGTTCTCCAGGTGTCTCCAGAACAGAGTCCAGTTCTTTATCTTAGCTTGTTGAGGCCGCTTTTTCACCACTGTCCCTGGCTCTGATGCTGCTACCCTACCAGCAGATGATGGCAGATGCCGAGATCACACTCTCCACCCCAACAGACTTGATATACAAAAGATATGCAGCACTCTGTTGCTGCAAACACCTTAAGGTCTTAACCTATCATCCCGAGAAGTACAGGCTGCTCTGTCCCTTCTTGTAGACGGCTTCACAGTTGCATCTCCACTCCAGTCTGTTGACCAGGTAAATACTCCTCCACCACCTCCACTTCATCTCCCATGATGGAAATAGTGTTTAACCTATTCTTGTTTCTCTTAAAATCTACAGTCATCTCCTTTGTTTTCTCCATATTCAAGATGAGATGATGTGATTTTGAGATGATGATGTTTTCCACACCATGCCACAAAGAAGTCCACCAGCTCCCTGTACTCAGTTTCTTGTCCATCTCTGATTATTTCAGAGTATTTCTGCAGATGACAGGAGTCTGTCTTCTACTGGAAGTCTGATGTGTACAGAGTGAAAAGGAGTGGTGAGAGTACAGTCCCCTGTGGTGCTCCTGTGCTGCTGACTACCTTGGTGATAGAACACCCAACCCTTCCCCCAGTCACAACTACCACCGGCGGCTCCGTCCTTCTGTTTGTCAGGTGGTCTTTGATCCAAGAGATTGTTGAGGCCTCCACCTGAGTATTCTGGACAAAGCAAATCAGCCTGAATTGTGTTAAATGAAATGGAGAAATCAAAGAACATGATCCTCCAAGTGCTGCTGGCTTTGTCCAGATGACAGTGAGTTTGTTGAAGCAGGTGTATGATGGCATCTTCAACTCCAACTACACAGCGATAAGCAAACTGAAGGGAGTCCTGATAGTTCATTGTTTGCTTACTCAGATGGGCCAACAGGAGTCTCTCTCTGACCTTTATGATGTTCTATGTCAGGGCAACAGGTCAATAGTCATTGAGGATTGATGGGTGAATTTTCTTTGGTACTGGAACAAGAAACGAGGTCTTCCACAACACTGGAACCTTCTCCTGGGTCAAGCTAAGGTTGAAGAGGTGCTGCAGAATCCCACAGAGCTGCTCTGTAGAGGCCTTCAGGACTCTAGGGCAGACACAATCTGGACCTGCAGCCTTATTCCGGTTTAGTCTTTGCAGTTGTCTCTTCACCTGACTTCTTGTGACACACAGGAAGGGGGAGGCAAAGGGAGCATCAGCATCTTCTGTTTTGGTTGAAGGCAAACATGTAAGCAGAAGGGTCCATGGCTGAAATGGAAGATAAAATGTTTAAGGTGTGACGGGAAAGCTGTGGGTCAAAGGAGGGTGGGATGTCAGATTGACTGTGAGCAGGAGAGGAGGATGCAGAGCTTGTTTCTGAACTGAACCTATTGAAGAATGTGTTCAGTTCATTGGCTCTATCCAGACATCCATCTGTCTGATCATCCCTCTACTTGAAGCCTGTGATCTTCTTCATCCCTGACCACACATCTCTGATATTGTTTTGCTGGAGCTTGCTCTCCAGCTTCTTCTTGTACACCCCCTTGTTGTCTCTTATCTTGACTTTAAGTTGCTTCTGGATACTCCTCAATAATTTCCTGTCTCCCTCTCTGAAGGCTCTTTTTCTTGTTAAGCAGGTCCTTCACGTCACTGGTGATCCAGAGGTTGTTGTTAGGGAAACATTTCATTGTTTTGGTGGGGATGGTGTCCACACAGAAGTTTATATAGTCAGTTACACACTCAGTCATGGCAATAATGTCCTCTCAATGTGGCTGGCACCGTTAATCCCAGTCTGTAGCCTCAAAGCAACCTTGTAGGGCTTCTTTAGCTTCTTGTGACCATTTTCTCATTGTTCTCTTTATTAAAGGTTGCCTCGGAACAAGGGGCTTATATTTCGACCAGAGAAAACAAGATTGTGATCTGATTTGCCTGGAGGAGCTCTTGCTTTGGAGGTGTATGAGACCTTGACATTTGCGTAAAACAAATCCAACATTTTGTTTTCTCTGGTAGCGCAGCTGGTTAAAATCAACAGATATTGCCACAATCGCACTGGGGTGTTGAGTCTGTGGCTTACTGCTAACAGTTCAATATCTGGACTGCAGAGATGACACTTCACTGTAACATGTCCTGGATTACACCATCTGTTGTTCACAAGTACTGCCAGTCCTCATTTAAGTTTGCCACTCCTCTTTGAATCTCTGTCTGCTCATTTGGTTAGAAAGTCTGGCAGAGAGACACTGGAGTTGGGGATATAATCCTGCAGCCATGTCTCATACTCTTGCTGGGTCCTTTGTAGGGCTTGAAGTTCATCCAGCTTGTTTCCCCAACGATCTCATATTGCCCATCATAATCAATGGAAGACATGGTTTGAACTTCCCTCTTCTCTCTCTTTTCTTTGCTCCTTCTCTGCATCCACGGCGCCTCCTTTTAAACTCATCAGGGATTTGGGGTTGTAGTTGAAGTATTATTTGAGCTTTTGAGATATTAATCAGCTGCTCCCGGTTGTAAAAATAAACACCCTGTTGCCATGGTGATGCATCATAACAAATGTCAAAAAGTAAAAAAAATCCTTCTAGCTGTACAGCATCTGATACCGGAGAGGATAATCGCCCAAAAAATAAATTTTTATCCACCACAAAAGGAATTTGAGTTCTTAAAAGTGATTAATCAGAATGAAAAGTAACAGAGCCAATCCAACCTGCTGCCACCTTGAGTGGCGCAATTCTAGAAAATTAATCTTAACCAGTTTTGTGTTCACACTCAAATAATCATTCCCCTAGTTTTAGGTTCCGTGTTTTCAGCACTCCTTTCTGGACTCACCTGTTTATCTCCTTGCCTTTTGTCTGGGGTTTGTCTGGGGTTTATATTTCACAGATTTGAAACAGCACAATGCGGAAGTTGGCTTCAGATTCTGCGGATGACATGCTATAAAGGGCATCTGGACCAACTTAAAACAATTTTTCTAATCGATTTAGAATTATCAAACCTGGACCGGATTTGCCCCCATAAAAAGGCTTAAGGCTCATATTGTGATCATTGCAAAAAAAAAATGTAAGGTATTAAAAAAGTGCTAAGTGCTTGGTTTGGTATCTAAACCACCAGTGGTGCAGTTGTTAGCACTTTTGTTTTGCAGCAGAAAGATCCTGGGATTAAATCCCAGCCGGGGCTCTTTATGCATCGAGTAAACATGTTCCCTGCATGCATGCGTAGATTCTCTCCGGGTACTTTAGTTTCCTTTCACAATCAAAGAACATTAATTTATCGTGAATAAGTCTGCATAAAATTACATTTTGCATGTCCTGTTTGTAGCTGTGTTCCCCTTCGATAGGCTAATGATGTTTCCAAAATGTGCTTCACCTTTTCCACAAGCACTGCAGGAGATTGGCACCATGGCTCCCCGGTAACCCTGCATGGATGAGCAATAAAACCGTACATCTGTACTATAGAGCCTCTTTTGCACATAATGACCATGTAAGTATGGCGTTGTATCCTGATTTTTTCTAACTTTTCTAACCTCATAGTAAAAATAAAGTGTGCATCTAGTTGTCAGAAAACACACCACTGAGGTTATTTGGATTAGAAATGTTTGTTGTGTTTAAACATCATGTTTGGCTTGTGATGAAGTATCCTTCTGAGTTAAAACTGTAGTGTGTGGTTAAAGTTTTAAAAACGACACAAGGTGCTACACTGTATAATCCTTGACTAAACAGTGATTGTTTCTCTCAACGAGTGGTGTAGAATTATATTAAATATGTACACATCAACATAAATCTAACTTATCTGAGAGGGTTATCAAAAAGATCTATAAGTATGAAACATTTTATGAACTTCTAGAATACATAAACTATCCATTAACCATCTGGTACATACAGGGGTTGGACAATGAAACTGAAACACCTGGTTTTAGACCACAATAATTTATTAGTATGGTGTAGGGCCTCCTTTTGCGGCCAATACAGCGTCAATTCGTCTTGGGAATGATATATACAAGTCCTGCACAGTGGTCAGAGGGATTTTAAGCCATTCTTCTTGCAGGATAGTGGCCAGGTCACTACGTGATACTGGTGGAGGAAAACGTTTCCTGACTCGCTCCTCCAAAACACCCCAAAGTGGCTCAATAATATTTAGATCTGGTGACTGTGCAGGCCATGGGGATGTTCAATTTCACTTTCATGTTTACAAAAAAAATTTTCCACCATCTTGCTGTGTTTTTGGGTGCATTGTTCCTGAACACAGCACCCCCTTTCGGGATAAAATTTTTTGAACCTTGGATGCACATGGTCCTAAAGAATGGTTCGGTAGCCCTTTGGGGCCAGTGACGCGCCCACGGGGAAAAGTATTGGGCCAAGGGGAATCCCCTGATATGCAGCCCAAAAAAAAATCACCGACCCACCCCCATTCACTCTGGGATGCAACGCCCCTGGGGGGAAAGTTCTTTGGGGCTTCCCAAAACCGAACTCTCCCGGATGGGGGGGAAAAAAAGGGGTATATCAGAGAACAAACAGGGTTTCCATTTTCCACAGCCAAGTTTGCGCTCCTTGCCCTTTGAACCGACTTTTGGGCATTGGCATGAGTGACCAAAAGGTTTTGGCATAGCACCCGGCCGGGTTTTAAATTGGACCCTATGGAGCCCCCGAGGGTAGTTTTGGTGGAAACAGGAATTAGGTGCCCTTTTAAAATTCTCCCTGATTTGGGCACCCATTTTTTTTATTTTTTTGGATACAATCCGGGTTAGCACCCAACACCCTTTCAGACAACTTCCTTTTTTGGTCCCATTTTAACCCTTTTGAATGTGGTTCCAAACCTTCTTGGGGGTATGCTGACTTTTCCCTGGGAACCGTGGCTTTTATACACACAAAAATTTCGTCTTGGTCACAGATGGCAAGAAAGGGGACGTGCTCCAATTTGTCCTTTTTGAACTCTGATGTCACCAAAAAATGTTGTGTGCATTTCGATTTTTTTGAGCAAAAGTGCTTTTCCCCTGCTAATTAAACCCCTTCACACTCCCTTACGGGTGCAATGTGCAATCAATGAAGACTGGCTCCCGGGCTGGTCCAATTTTTACCCCTGAAACCTCCCACAAAAATGACAGGTGTTTCATTTTTCATTGTCCAACCCCCTGTATATTGGCCTGTATTTAAAATTTTTATACTTATAACAAAAGTACCTTCAAGGCAATAAATTAAAAATGACCAACTGAAAAAGGCATGGTCTATCGCAAAGGGTCTACAAATATTTCAGAACGGGGCTGCACTTTCAATGTTTAAAGTTTAATTGGATTAGTACCTGATTTTTTGTGAAGTACCTTGGGAACGACTGTGTTTTTAAATTTGGTGCTATATAAATAAACTGAATTGAATTGAATTGAATTGAATTACCAAAAGAGATGCTTACTGTCAAGAAAAGAACAAAACAATAAAAATTAACAAATTGTAAAATGAGACATAAAATTATAACAAAGAAACCCAACCAAACATCATTAGTGATATTTTGTGTGCACAACATAAAGTTCTTGTCTGCACAGCTTAGTACATTTTTGCAAGCAGGACATTAAGTTGTTTGCAGGTCTAATTTTTCATATTCAATGTATTCAACACAAATGCTTACTTCAGTAAAATTCAGTCAAATAATCTTCCAAAGGTTGCAAAGATACAATCATCTAACAAAGATAAGACAATAATACAATATCGTTCTCAAACTGTGAGAAACGTTGGAGTGTCAAGAAAAATCCATAAATATTGCTTAAATGGTTTGGAAACAGATACACAGTGATAAACAAATTCAGTTTTTCTAGCTTGGAGGAAAAGGAGATAAAACTGTTAAATAAAGATCCCCATCTATACTCTGTTAGGGTGTTTTGCTTCTTTGCTGGGTTTTTACATTTCTTAGATGCAAGCCTCCTTGGATCATTGCCGGGTTTTGTTTTTGCACTGCAAATGTTTTATTATGTGACAGTTAAGGCATAAGGTTAATTTTGCAAATCATTACTGTGTCGTAGTAAAACAGGTTGCTTAGTGAGACTGTACAGTATAAGGATCTCAATTGATCAGGAAAACGTCATGAATCTCTTAAAGAGCAGTGTGTTTATAGGCACCCAGTCCATGTAAAGTCTGAAAAAAGGACGAACTGACACAAACACTATTTACATACAGTAATCATAAAGTGCCATCAAAATTTAAAGCCAAGCCTGCAGCACAATGGTGTTCAAAACACAGATTTAAAAGAATAAACTAACAACAAAAACAGTAAAATTAATAGAGGAGCTGCTGCAGTTAAGAGCAATTTCAAAAGCATGATGATGATTGGCCTTCTACCTGATCTGTCTTTGTCATTGTGAGGGCACGTCTTTGGTTGGCATCAGTAATTTTTGAGCATACTTTAATTATGTGGTTCAGACTGTTCTTGTACGTAAGAGAATGACTGTCTACCGATCAATTAAGTGAAATAACAAAAGACTTTCAATAAAAGCACAGTAATAAATCAAATTGTAGGTAATTTGTAGGCATTGTTTTTGCTCCTGCAAACCTTACCTAATTTTCAGGTAATTAAGTAATATCTAATTGCTCAGGCAAAATAAGATATCTGCATTTTAATCACAAAAGAATGTTAATAATGTCAATAAATAACAAAAAAAGCCTGTTTTTAACAGTTTTCCTTCGACGTCACATTAGGCCCCGCCTCCTCTCTCTTACGATTGGTCGAGTAGTGGGAATATTCAAATGCCGTCCTGATTGATTCGCCCGGAGCCGGTTCCAGCTGCGCGCAGGACTGGTCCGGGTTCGCATTCTCGACGTCGCTCGTTCAGTCGCTCGCAGCTCTCTGTCCGCACCGCTGCGATGATACGCAAGTGGCTTCGAGAAAACCCGAACAAGTGAGATTTTCATGATGAGCTTTTATTAGTAAGACGGCCGTGGAGCATGTCGAGGAAGTACAGTTGATGGGCCGGTTTCTTCAATGGATATTTCTCCCGAGGTTTCCAGCGCTCACCGTGAAATCAGCGGCGGAGGAAGAACGCCTTCAGAGGAGCACTGGAGCCAATCAGCCGTGGCGAATCAAAGATAAACAAGCCTTATGATAAAGCAAAACTCTGTAAGACACTATCAGTTTATATTTCCGTTATATGTGAGCGCGTTTAGTTTAGTTTTGGATTGTTTATAATAGAAAATCAGCTCAGTTACTCTTTTATTTTGCACGTTCAACCTAAGAATAACAGTCAAGGTGGAAAAAAGAAGGAGAGCTGTAGATTTTTTTAAGGACAATAGCTCTTTTTCCGAATCGCTTGAGTTTTGTAATCTAATTATTAAGTTATTAAGAAGTATTTTGTCTATTTGATAATTGAAATAATTGCACCCAATTCTTTCAACTTCTTTTCAAATGTACAGTTTTCATATCCAAATATATTATGGCACTTATAGGTACAGTTGCATTCCCCTATCTGTCTTCACATATGCACTGCCTGATGGCAGATGCATTCACAGAAAGGCGCTTTATTTGCCAGCATCTCAGTGGCAATACTTTGAAGTATATTATCAGTCACTCAGGGCTGCCTCTGAGGGTTTCCACGTCCATTGTCTACGATTGTCTAGGAGCCGGAGGTGGGATCATCGCACCTCAATGCACCCGTGGCAGCCGGGGTTGAAGGTTAGCCTCAGCTGAGGTTCCTGCAGATTATTGGCCAGGTGTGAAATTCAAGCCTGTGTGTGTGTGTATGTGTGTTTTCTGCCTCCTTTGCTTGATCCTTTATTACTCAGAGAGATGGAGTGTCAGAGCAAACCACCAGAGGCAGGGAAGAAAAATCCTGCAATTTTGGTGTTTTATTATCTCCCCTTCATCTTTTTTCTGGGTGTCATGATGAAAAATGTTGCACTTTATTCCATTTGTATCGGCTTTGTTCAAAGTGAACTCTTATTTTATGTTGAAATTAGCATGCTCAGGTTAAACATTTTTTCTTTATTCGCCCGAGCTTAAACTTGTTCTTGGATCTCAGCAGTCAGTGTGCAGGTATCCCCCACAGGTCTATCCCTCGGATCCCGCGTCACACCCAGGCTATAATTCAAAGTCTGTGAAGAAATAAAAAGAGGGAGGGGGGGATTTGTCATTTGGCTGCCTGCTTTCATTTGCTTCTTCAAGAGCGAATCTAAGCTCTGATTTACTGTGAAGTTTCCCCA